GCATTTGGGACCACTCTGAAACAGCTGTGAATTTGTGTCATCTCTGTGTGCATGCATGCACAGCCTCTGCACATATGTGCACACGTTCACTGCATTTATAGACAGAGATAGTTAACTGTAAATTTCCCTTTTTTGTTAGAAAACTGATTTAGTCAGATTCTCTATTTTAATGGAATTGGATAAATACTTATCTGTCCAATGTGTGTTGTGTGGCCTTTAAGAGATTTCACAATAACTCCTCCTGTGTCACTGTGTTTGTCTTTATAGTATGTCTGTCATGCTTCTGTTCAATCAATCCCTCTAAGGTGAAGGCATAAGATTTTAGTATTATTAATGCCTCGTTTCATCTAGTTAATGATCTTTTCACGTTATCTCATCTTCTTTGTGATTTACCTTCCATGTCACATAAAGGTCGTATTTAAGCTAAGTATTATGGAATAATAGAAATCTATTCTATTTGAACAGTCAGGACAAATGAATCCAATAGAGAATCTTATGTTAAACAGGTGCAGCATTGCACATGTAAAATCAGGGTAAGTTCTCTGAACACTTAGATCTTAACAGATGTGTTCTTTTTTCTCCGTATGTTATAACAAAATAAGGATTTGCTCTGAAAGTATTGACACAAACACTAACCAGTCTTGGCAAACACAAAACTGTGCTCCTTACACAGTATCAGCTGCGCCTATTCATTAACTTTAAATAAATGTGTGTGTTAAATAGCTGTAAAGCACATACATGTATAAATGAAATCAGGTTTCGTCAGAAAATAATTTTTGCTTTCTTGTTTACTGATGCCTAGAAAAAGGAATGCTGCAACTTCAAAACAACATCTGTCAAACCAATTTTCATCAGATTAAGTATATCCTCAGAACAACCATCACAGCTTACAAAATACTGGAAATGTAGGTTGTGCTTTGTATAAAACACCAATAGAATTTAAAGCACTAAAAAGTGTTTTTTAAATGGAGCAATAATAGCCTGTGCCTGTTCTCCTTTTTTTTTTTCTATTTTCAGGAAGTTCTTGGGAAAGATAATGAGTGATGTTGCAACACTGCAGTCCCAGGAGATATCTCAGAATGCAATTATAGAGTTATGGTCCTGACAGCTAATCTGGGTCCACAAAAGCCCATGGTTTGGGAGTCTGGCAGTAGAGATTGAATTTATTATGACAAAGTTCATCTGTGGAAAGATTTTTCTCATTAGGAAAGAAATTAAGGCATGAATCAGTGACTGATTATCCAGGCCTTTCTCTGATCTGTTGAATTCTTCATTAGTATAGATTTGTGATTATATATGCTGTGGCCTGGTTCTGGTTCTATAGATCATCAAAGATAATGAATAATATTAATTTTTTTAAGATTTTTTTCTGAAACAATGTAATCTGGTAAAAATGCAAGGAAAGCCAGTGGCTTCACATAGGACATAAATAGCAATGCACTCAATCATGCTCATTTCTGGCCAGCTTTCGGTCTTTTTCCCTGCTACAGGGTAATTAATACATGGAAATGAACTTCCTATTAAGTTGGTGTGTCTTCTGTAGGAGCAAAGCATTTTTCCTGCGTAATGAGTTAAATAGAGAGGTGAAGTCTCATTACCATGTGCACCTACAGCTGATCATGGAAACTTGGGGCAGCCAAACAAATGCCAGGGTTTCTGCAAGATCTTTGTGGATGGAGGGTAGAGGCACTTGAGCTGGAAGCTGGGTCAGCATTCCCATTAGTTCTTCCATTTAAAAGCTGGAAATCTAGTATGGAGCAGGGGGAGTCCAGTCAAAAATCCATGGGGATGACAAACAAGGGGAAAGTCAAGGAGAAAACTATTCCAGCTGCATCTGGGAGTAGATACCTTTTGCAACTCTGTTTTCCTGTTAGGTTGTTCTCTGTGTGTCAGCACTATCCTAGAATGTGCCACGTGAACCCTGAGGTGTTTTGGTGCTTACCACTCACCTGTGGGAGAGCCCTAATCAGTGTTCTGTGCGGGATTTGTAATTTTCTCTTTTTCCCCACCCCCCATTCCCCCTCCCCCCTTCCCGTGCGTTCCCCCTTTGTTCCCTTATCACTCCCCCTCACCACGCAGTCCGGTCCCTACCCCCCCCCCCACCTTCCCCATCGCCACGCGGTCGGTCCCTGTCCCCGCCCCCCCCCCCTCCCCCCCGCCTTTCCCTTTACTGTCCCGGGGGTTTCCCTGCCTCCCGTCCTATTGTCCGCAGCTCAGGTTCCCCCCCCACCCCCGGCACGGGGTATAACCGACCCCCGGTCGCTGCCCCGGTGTCTCGGGAACACGCTTCCACAATAAATACGTGTTTTCACCCGAGCCCCGTGTCGCCATTTCGTCTGTTCCTGCGCAAGAACTGAGCCTCGCAGAGCTGAAGGGGAAAAGCAGCTGCCACCTCTCCCCTCCTCCCGCCGTGCTTCGCAGGCGCCCGCCCAGAGCCGGTCTCGCACGGCAACAGTCCTGTTTCCAAGGCAGTGAACTAAAGAGGGTCACAGAGCGTACTGCATACAAACAAGGCTGAATATGTTATGTTGTGATAATGTTCAAGATAAATGCTTTGTGTCTGAAAAATAGAGTTTTGATTAGGAAAATGGTACTGCTGACTTTTGTCTTCTTTATAAAGATGTGCTAGCTGCTTCTGAAGTACTACCTGAAGCATAAACCTCAGATTAGATTTTAGCTGACCTGAAAATGACAATGATCTTTACAGGATCTTCAGGCTAATTCCTGAGGCAAAACAACATACAATTAAATTAAAATAAGTACAGAAATCTGCCAAATATTCTAACTCCATCCAGCTCTATCATGTACTTGGGAGATTTAACACTTGCAAGTTTGGGTCCTGTGAATATTAATAGCATGACATTTCAACATGAGACCAGGGTTTCTAAGCAGATTTTTGCAATTTGCAGTGGTAAAAGATATGTTCAAAATGACCATTATGGAAGAGATTCCTTATGTTTTTCATTTTTGACCAAAGCCATGGAGCATTGCACTTGTTTTTAAAGCAAGAATTATGAACCACACAGCGGGTAATACAGTGTGGTAGTTGGTGAACAGCTCGTGGCACATTCAGCAAATATAGGCTCTGTTGGGGAAATGTTGATTGGAATTTCATGCATCATCCAAGCATAATGAACATTGAAATGTCATATTAAGAATATTTTTAAAAATCCATCTGATTTGACTTTTTCACTGTCCAGTATTGTTAATAATACAATGTCAAGCGAAAAACCAGTTTTCTCTGAGTGCAACTAAAGCCAGATTCCATGTAAAGTTGAAGAATAAATTGCCATACTTTTTTTTTCATTTACTGTTCATTTACTTTATTATGTCATGGTGTAAGTGTGTGAACTGTACCTTGAGCCACTGCAGTACGTCTGTATTTTCTCAGTCAGAGTTATTTCTTTGAGTTTGTTACTCAGACCTACTCCAGTAGGTCTTGTTCAGACTGTAACGTCCTAATTGGCTCAGTATAATTGGAATGAAATGGAAGTGTTTTGCTATTGATCTTTGCTTGTTATTACTTTGTACTGACAGAAAATTGGATTGAAAAAGTCTAATATGGCTATTAAAATGTTATTTCTCATTGCAGGAAATATCACTGTTATTCTTCCGTGGAAGTATTTTAGAGCAGAACTCTCTTCCATTGTCCTTTTTTCTAACCTTGTCTTTCTCTTTCTGACTTCTTAAAAATTTCTAGGAGGGATGCTGAGCCTTGTTAAATAACCAGGCTGTTCATAGACTGAGTAGCAATACCATGATTTAAACAGTGCTCAGGCAATATTTATGAGTTCAGTATAACAAGTCTAATACTGTACTGCTTGTTATCTTAACTTCACATAACATCATGTTAATAAATTTTTACAGGCTGTGTAGTTGTAAATGCATCATAGTAATCACTATCATTCCTGTAATTTATAATTTGCTTTGTATGTGCTTTGTGTTTTTCCAGCCTCATGAGCTGTAACATCTCAGGGTAGAACCCTTCTTGTGGTCCAGGTTAATGGACCTGCTCTGAGTCTTCAGGAACTGATGTTCCCAGGGGGAGGGACACCTTCAGCTCCCCACTCTGCTCCCCTCTGTAGTGGCTCAGGCTACATTATTTTCTTATAGGAGAATTAACCCTATTGTGGAGATTTTCTGGAGCTCTAAGGTTGCTGAGTGTCTGTAATTCAGATGCTGGCAGTGTCAGCAGGGTGAGCAGTTGGACGTGACTGTGCTGTGGCCTCCAGGTAGAGGTGGTCAGTTCAGGAGATCAGTGACCCAGGGAAACCAGTGGCTCATGCTGACCAAGCTACAGAGAACTCTGGCTGTGGAGAGTCTATTCCTGTTGGTGTGGATGGAGGGTATGCAAATGAGAAACCAGGAAAGGCTTTGCTTTATGTTTTTTAATATTTGTTTGATTACAGACACATTTTCTTGTAATAGAGTAGACTACCTGCTTGAAAATCTGTGATTTAAAGTACAGTGTGTTGCCCTTTCTGAGACTCAGAATCCTCATTCATTTGATTGACAGATGTAAACTTGAAATTTATTTTATGCTCTAACACAGCAGTGACTTTAGTCCAGCTACAGTTCTCATTGTGCAGTACAAATACACTAAGCCTAAAGTACTGCTGGCAGTTTATGTATAAAATTTCAGGATTAAGAAACCAATGCAAATAAAGACTCAGCTTTAAGAAGCAGTATTGTTGGACTAGTCTCTTACTGCTGTCACAATCAATGTGAAGCAATAGCAGCCAAAACCTAAAGGTCTGGTTTTGGCTGCAGTAAGTACTATTGAGGCAACAGTCATTTGAAGAGGAAATTTGTCTTGTCTATTTGAAACATTAATCAGTTTCCAAAAATGCCAGCTTTTTTTTGGTTTGTTTTTTTTTTGTTTGTTTGTTTGGGGTTTTTTTTTGTTTTTTTTTTTTTTTCTTTTGCATTGTATGTGTGATTTCCTTTTAATTTTTGCCTTCTAAATAATTGATACAAATAATCTCTCTTATTTTTTTCAGCCCAACTAAGTCAGCGGTGTTCATCTCTGGTGTCATTGCTAGGGTAAGATTATCAGTGAATTTCTCTCAGTCATAGCGAAATTACTGTAAGCTTTTCAGAATTACCTCAAATCAGAGCAAAATTAATCTTTTTCATACCCCTTCCTCTTCTGTGAGAGGAGGCTTTGTGTTTTCTATATTCATGTAAGGCCCTTTGAGCATTCTTTCTGGGTCTGTGTGAAACTGAAATTATTCATTGAAATAATTTCCACCGTTTTTCTTTGTATTTTAGCACTTTAAGTTTATTGGATCATCTTTTTATATCTAAGCTAGATATTACTGTATTCATTTCCTTTGGAGGTGGCTGCATATTAAACTGCTGCTGTAGCTTGATCTGTGATGAGGAGCAACCCTCCTGCCTGTAAGGTTATATGCTTGAAAATAGTGTGTTTCGGCTGCCTTGAGGTATTTGGGATTCAGGGTGTTATTCCCTGGACTTTAAGAGCAGGCAGGACCTGTAAATCCTTAGTATTAACTAGCCATTAATCATGTGATCAGTAATTTGTGCATTGTGGCAGGGTTTTTGTCCTGGCTTTATGTGGTGGTTACCTTACATCACTGGGGCTTGTAGTGTGGTTTGCTGTAAGATCCTGTGCTTGTGTAATCCCATAGGTGGAAAGAGTGAGCTGATGCCATTTTCCTTAGCCCATAAGGAATGGGCAATTGGCAGCATCAGGGGAGAGAAGGCAGAAATTGTCGAGTGTGAGGAGAGCAGATTTTTGAACACTGGAAGCAAGTTGGAGTAGAGAAAAAAATACAAAATATAACAAGTTAACATCCCGATTAAACTAAAACAAAACAGTGTAACGTTGTTACCCTGTGAGCCAGTGGAATGCCCAGAGTTTCTGGCATATGTTTGTCCCACTTTCTGAAGGGGGAAGTTGTGGTGCTGTTGTCCCCTTGTCACTGAGCACTAATAGTATTTTGTTTTCTGTTGCTTTTTGGAAACCTCATGGGACTGACCCTAGAAATAGCAATGGTGAATAGGTGACATATGGGTTACACCTGGACTGAGACTGCCCAGCAGCAGCACCTGAGAGCTTACACTGGCAGACCTGGTTAAAAGAGCATGTTAAACTTAAAAGCCAGCCATCCCTAAGATTTGAATAATAAGTAGTTTTAGATCCCACTTTCTTCCTAAAGAACTGGTATTGTTCAGCCTGGAAAAGAGAAGGTTTTGGGGTGTCTTAACTACATCGCTCAGGATGGAGTCCTGAGCAACCTGGTCTAGTGGAGGGTGTCCGTGCCTATGGCATTGATGTGGGAACTGGATGATCTTTAATGTTCCATCCAACCCAGGCCATTTTACAATTCTGATTCTGACAGTAGTCTTTCTGTGCAGGTATTTTTCATGCTGCCTTAACTTACTTTTAAAGTAGTCTATTCTTTCTAGTAGCTTTTTGGAAACCAAACACATCTAAGGATAGAAATATTTTGATTTTTTTCCCCTAGGGTCACATTAAGATACCTGAGATTATTGGATAGTGTGTGTAACTTGAAGAAGTAAAGCTTGCATAAGAAAAATTTTGAAGTTGGCTAAAAAGAATAAGAAAATAGAATCTGTGCAGGGGGACTCCAAAGTAACATGTAACACTCTTTTCTATCTGATTTTCACATTTTTTAGAATTTACATCAATTTGAACTGGAAAGTACACTTTTAAGATTCCTTAAACTCTTCCTTCTGTGTTCTTCAAACAGGGTGATAAAGACTTCCCTCCAGCTGCAGCTCAGGTGGCTCATCAGAAACCACATCCTTCTGTGGAAAAGCTTCCTCACCCGCAGCACGTCAAACAGCACATCCACCAGCCTCGCAAATGAGCTCCCTGTCAGGATCACTGCCAACCTGCTCTCAGTGAATGTTTTCAGGAGAAGACAAAAACCCTTTAGTATTCACACTGTCAAATCTGTAAAATTGACATCTAAAATAATACACTGTTTCTTTTACTTTAATTCTGAAGGGTTAATAAGAATGAAGACATTGTTCAGTTGTTATCCCAGATGGAAAATTCTGTATTGAGTATTTGCTGATCAGGGGTGCTTTTTCTAAGATTTTCTTATTGCCAAGCTAAAAACTTCAGTATGAATAATATGATTAATGGGCTTAAAATTTGTGCTTTTAGTTGTGGACTCACAATAGCAGATAGTTGATGTAGTTTTTATGCTAAGCCAGTAAGGAAGAACAGCCCTTTTGTATGGTACCTTTACTGTCTGGAGGGAGCTTGTTGGGTGTGTTGAGACAGAAGTCAGTGGATGCCTTGATTATGTAGAACCCTTGCAGCCTTCAGTATCCTACACTGCTACAACCCAGTGCCCTCTGGATTCAACCAGGGAGATGATGATAGGGCCCCCATACATTCTCAAGTGGGCAGAGATCCAATTAAATCTTCTTTACACTCTTTTGCACTCACACAGTCTTGCTGAGATTTTTCCCTCTCGTTGTCTGTGGGAATGAAGAGGAGAGAGAAATCAGAATTGTAAGAACACTGCTGTAGAAAACTAATTTGTAATCTCATGGATCTCACTGGGGGCTGTGTTTTTGAGGTGATGATTTCACATTCCAATAACAAGCTGAAGGAGTTCATGACCCTCTGTATTGAACATAAAGTAAGTTGGTAAAAAATCCTTTTTAACTTAGAATTTGAGATCACCTTCTGAAATTAAGAGGTACCATTAGTAAATATGTTTATGATCCAATCTCTTTTGTACATCTTTTTTTTTCCTAGTCTTCTTATTCTGAAATACAGTTGTGATGTGAGGGAGTAAAAGGAAAGTTTTTCCAAATAAAGCAATCATTTTATTTTTACCAGATAATTAAATCATTTGGTTTGTCAGTTCAAAATCACTTAGCTCTATCATTTTCCTTACATAACTCACCTCTGTAAAAACCAGGAAAAACATTTTATACATGCTACCTATTTTAAAGTGTTCATCTGTTTTTAACTGACTATAAATACAATACTGCCTTTGGTAGCCTCAGGGTTTATAAAGTTTCTAATGAGGTCAAAAAAGTGGGAGCTAATGTTGCAGCCATTCACCTGGCAAATCAGTGACATTTTAGGTTCACTTGGGGCTTTACCAGTTCATTTATGGTTAAAAAACAATGAGGAAAGTTTAAAAATTATTATTTTTGAAAATTCTGCAGATTTAATAAGTATTTCCTGAGTAGCTGATTTAAAACAACAGCAACAAAGTAATGGGAAATATGGCCCTTCTCACAAGTGGAACAACGCACTTCGTGTGAGTGCGAGGGACCTGACATTTCCATCTCTTTGTAGGCTTGAAATGGCAATGATGTTTTACAAATTATATTCATGTGTCTCTGTTGAGGCAGGATGGGAATGAAAGAACAGTCAGAAGACTAGATAAAGTGAGTTCCAACTGATTTATTTCATCACTGTTTTATAGAGAGCATTGTGCAGACTAATTTCATTGGTCTTAAAGTAAAAACATCTCACACCATTGGTGCTCAGTGAATGTTGCATGGTGGCAGAACATATCTATAAACAATGTGAACCAGAGAGATAGAGAATTATTTACATTCCTTTGCAAGTCTTTCCCAGGCCCAGCCTGGCAGAAACCTCTCTTTTTCTCTCTGACTGAATTGAGAATACCCATAATGCATGGACATACTTATTCTAAACCCAAGGAAGGATGTACAGTCTACATATGCAGTCCTTATTTTCAATTTGATTAGAAACCATACTTGCCTTAAGGAATGAGTGTTGTTTGTAAGAATTATTCTGTATTAGAATACACGTAGCTTTTCAAATCTGCTTTCTCTTTCTGATGTTGGGACAGCAGAGGCCTTATTTGTATCTGCTTATCAGCATACAAGTGATTCACACCTGAGCAACTCATTCATAAGGTAGCATTGGGAGCCTCTTGGAATCTCTGCAGGAGATGATTTGCTGGCAGGAATGTTTGCAGGCACGGGACAGGAGGCGGCTGGTGGTGCAGCCGTGGCTGCCCGTGTGCTGTGTCAACAATGGAGCAGATCATCACAGTTGCTTCTGGTACCTGCTGGCCTGAGGGGGAGCTGGGTGGGATTCAGCTCTGCCTCGTGCTGTGCCTGAAGGAGTATCTAGAGCCTGGTGTTGTCAGTGGTGGTGCAGTCAGGAATGTCAGCAGAGCTTAGGTATGGCGTCATTGACCAAAGGGAAGAGTCTTTCAGGATGAGCTGGATCACTCTTGGCTCTACTGGCTGCAGTGGAAAACTAAACCTCAGTGTGGAGGCACATGGTGAGGTGGGGCTGGGTACCTCTGCTTCATGTCTTGTAATAGGTAGAAATGGTTTTGAAAGCCACACTACATCTCCATTCTGACAGTAAAAGTTAGGAGCATGGATGCCTTCAAATTATAAACTACTGCTCCTGGTTGTTAATGCAGTATATACATTAGACAATACCTGATTTTTGTCTTTGATTACTTAGATAGATATGAACATTTTTACAATGAGATATGGCTCTTTAGATAGCTTTAGTGGTTTTTAGAGGGCAGAAATTCATATATTATTAGAAAATGTTTTTGTATGAAAGCGATATATTGTTGGGAGGTATCCATGTTTATATATAGATGTCCTTACCAAAGCATTGCCTTTTCCAAAATAATCATAACTGGTGAGCTGGATTTCTTACTGATGGTTATTGATACTTTTAAAATATGTTGCAATAGCATATCAGCACAGGAGATGTTCAGATGTTACCTTGAAATAGCTGCAAAAGAAATTTGCTGTAATTGTCAATGTGGCAATAATGCAACAATAAAGCATGAAGTTTATATCGGGCTCTTTTTTCTCTCTAAGTGCAATGTAAATCAGCAGGGTGCAGTTTTGTGGCATTTATGGGATTTTATTACAGATTGCTGCATGACTAATCAACATTTTATAGATAGTGAAATGTATTATAAAGTTTTATGACACAGTGGATGAGCTGTTTTGAATAGTCCAGTCTCATGTAAAATAAAAAGTAGATGCTGCCAGCTAGAATGGGAGTTCCTGTTTTCCACTATGAAGTTGGAGATGCTCGCTCAGCCCTTGTGAAACTAGAGAATCTAACCCTGGTAATAAACCAGGATGGTAAAGAAAATTAAATGTAACATTTTCCATTACTTTGCAAGTTCTAGTCTTTCAGAAAAAGCAAGCATTGTAATCAGAAGAGGTGGCAAGCTTTTCATAAAGCTGCAGTTTAGACAATGCATGCTGTAACATAAGTCATTTGCTGAAGAATATGGAGAAATTGCCACAATGTTTCTGGGCCCTTTTTGATACTTTGGGCATCCCGTGTTCAGTGCATGTGTACTGTGTATATAATGCAGCAAATGTGTGTGATACAATGCAGAGGTGATAGCTGCTGCCCTGGGACTATAGCGTTACGTCCTTAGACACTGCGCTCACATGACCATAGAATGGTTTAGGTTGGAAAAGACCCTTCAAGTCATTGAGTCCAAGCATTAGCCCAGTACTGCCAAGTCCACCACTAAACCATGTCCCCAAGATCCACGTCCATACATACTTTAAATACCTCCAGATGTGATGACTTAACCAGTTCCCCGGACAGCCTATTCTAAAGCTTGACAACCAATTTGATGAAGAAAGTTTTCCTCATACCCAATATAAACCTCCCCTGGCACAACTGAAGCCATTTTCTCTTATGTTACCACTTGTGACCTTGGAGAAGAGACCAACCCTACCTTGCTACAATCTTCTTACAGGCAGATGGGTCTGTACAGAGCAATAGGGTCTCCTCTCAGCCTCCTTTTCATGCTACATTATTCAAAAGATACCTTCTTTCATTAAAATTCTGGGAAAATATATGTGCATGATGTCAGGCATGCTGTTGATTGCATTGTCCATTGTAACTCTAAATTTCAGGGCCTTGTTACCAGCAGTATTGCAAACGTTATTAGCAATTAGAAATTATTTACTTCTATATCAACAGTACGATCTACCCTTTTGTCACTGAATGCCTTGAAACAGAAGTCTTGTACTTTTTTCCACAGTAGTGTGATCATTGTATGCTCTTGGCTGTTTAATGAAAATACTCAAAACAGTTCTCTATACAAAGGTGAAGGGAATGAACAGACATAGGTTTTTATCCCTTTAGAATAACTTGATTCTGGATACTCACCATCTTCATGGGAGAGGGAGGTGTGGGCTTTATAAGACACTTCTTGTGTCCACTTCAGATTTGGGTATATTAAATTTAGAATGATATTGAAATCTAGGCTAATGCCTTAAGATGCTGGATTAATACAAATAATTGCATTTTAGAAAATGTGGGGATATCAGTATGGGTACAATTTCCTTTCCAACAGGGAGATACGTTGCTGTTCAGAGGCTGCAATGATGTAAAGAATTAAGACAAATCTCTGTTTTAATTTAAATTCTTTGCACACAAACCCCTCACAATATAAAGACATTTAAATATAGCTGGTTACAGCTAACATTATCTGCTATATAAGGATGCAGATCATAGTGACTGGCTGGCTCAAGAAGAAACTGAGTCAAGTCCACAGCAGTAAATCATGGGATTTCTTCAGCAGATGGGTAAAATGAATCATCATTGTAGCTGTAACCTTTGTAAGTGCTGTGTATTATTTTATTATATAAAATTAGTAGTTTCTTAAGAAGCTGGAGATTTGTATTTTGCTTGTCCCTGTGTTTTTGGGTCTCCTTCAAGAATGTGCCTTTATTGATTTTCTTCATCCCCCATCAGAGAAAAGGCTGCAGCTGGTGTATACTATTTCTTGAATCATAAAATGGAAGCACTGGCATTCAGATATGAGGCCTGAGAAGAGAGGTGGAGTGTATTGTATTTGACAAAGCACTCTGTGAACAAAGAAGCAATTTCTATTGCAATGACTGTTTTCCTTCCCTTCAGAATGCTCATCAGAGGTGAGAAAAAGAATATGATACTGCTTTTGGGGAATGTAATTTTTTGCAAAACAGAGACTGCTGTCAATGACAAAACTGAATTTAAGTATACTAAAGCCATGGCAAGCGTATGTCTTGCAAGTGACCTTGAAAGAAGCCCTGTAACATAATCTCTGTTGTCCAGCTTACATTGGAGGTATTTTTAGAAAGCGCAACTGTCTGGCATTCTATAGGTCACTCAGAGCTTTAGAAAAAGAAAAGCATTAGTAATCCATGGTGATTTTAAGGATTATGAAATTGGTTAGCTGCTGATGACACTGCAGCTCGCATCAGCGTCAGTAAGGTAACGTGTCGTGTTACCTTCAGTGTAGTCTCACATTGCCCTGACTAAAGCTGGTTCAGCATAATGGTTTTTATCCTCCTTTCTGGCAGAGAAGCAAGGGGCAGGTTATGCAGATGTGTACAATGGGTTCTTTGGAGCCATGTGTGGTAGCTGCTCGGGTGCCAGTGGGTATCTGGTACCATGTTGGATAGTGACATCACTTTGTTACACACAGAGGAGCGAGTGAACTGGAGAGCACAGCAGTGAGATCACAGTTTACAAATCACAGAATGCTCTGAGTTGGAAGGGACTCATAAGGATCCAGTGAGTCCAGTTCTTAAGTGAATGGGCCCCTAGGGGGATTGGACCCAAAACCCTGGTGTTACTAGCACCATGCTCTGGCCAGCTGAGTTATCTCAGGGTCACAATGGAACCCACTTGGCTTTACTTCTAAACCAGAAGTGGCTTTTAAAATATGAAACAGTGGAGTTAGTTAAAATGAAAAGCAAGATTTAGCAACTTATTTCTGTATGCTGGTAGCAGCTGAAATGACAAATGTCATGTTTCAGATGTGACTGAAACCACATATTCAATGCTTTTCGGAGTAAAATTGCACCATGTGTGGCAGTGTTTGCATCTGAAGGAAGAGAGGCATCACCTTTTTCCTTGTTTTATGCTTACTTGTGAGCCTAATGTTTTTAACCGAAAACTTCACTTGGTATTAAGAAAAAAAAAGCCTTCTTTCTAAGTCTTATTTCTAAGATGAAATGTGGACCTCATCTTAAGCTATATTTAATTTTTCAAATGGTATCTCTGAGGAACATAAAGGTCATCTGGCTTTCTCTCTTGAAGACCACCAGACTGGGGCACATGCCAGTGGAATGTTGCACACTTCATTTTACTTTCTGGTGTATTTAAATCAGTAGTGAACAGGAGCTGTGATTAGATAAGTAAAGCCTTAAATATTAAAAGTAGAACAGTACATGGATCAGCACAGAAGGTGGATTCAGTTGTGCTCTGTAAAGCTGTTGTTAGAGGATGGTAAGAGAAAAGCAGCAGAGCTGTCATATTGTTTCAGAACTGTACACTAGCCATTTCTTACTCTGCTTGGTGACCTCAATTTCCCATGCCTAATTACATACTGAGAGGACATTTCTTTGATTCGTAAATCTGCATGTCCTTGAATCTTTTCATATGGAAGAGGCTTTTGGATGAGGAAAATCTGCAAATGCAAATACATTATAATAAATTCTGGTTCTTCTAACCTACAAGGGTAAGCATAAAGAAACATATGTTATCTCCCTTCACTGCAAAAGACAGCATGTATGTGGATATAGGATGTAGACCTAAGACATACTCTAGTTGAACTGAGACCTAATTAATATCCGTGTGTGTGTGAGTGTATATCCCTACAATGAGAGAACAATCAGTTTTAAAAACTAGGATGTAAGATTTCATTCATTCTAGAGGTATTAAGCAATGGGAGATCAGATTCTTTGGAACATGCAGTTTGGATGAACACCTTTAACATCCTTTTTGCAGGTAGCTAGTGTCACATCTGATTTGCTAATGAAAAAGACCTACATCAGAAGCTAATTCCTTACCTAATTCCTTCCCTCTGGACAAGAGATAATGAATAGCACATGCATGAATTCTCCTTTTAGGGCCTGATTTATTACCCAGAACATAATAAACATTAACCTGCTGCTGATGTGACAGTTGTGACAGCTGGAGGTGTTTGGAATGAAAGGCTGAAGCCTTAAATAAGCCTGTAAACTGAGCTTGTTACGAGGATCTTGGTTAAGATCCTTGGTTAAAACTTTGCTTTTTGTGGCCCCAAAGAGCTCCTACAACATCCACACTGAACACTTCACAGTGTTAGAGCTGTGCTTTGCATGCTGATGGCTGGCTCACCACCAGCCAGTAGTGGCTAAGGTAAATACTTAAAGAAAGCACTGAGCTCAATCTGACTATTTATCATGACCCATAATATTCCTCTCCCCTAGATGCATATGTTTAGTTTGTTTATGCACCTGGTTTTGTTCCTTCCTGGCTGTCATCGTGTGTCATGTGTGTCACTCTCTGATGGCTGGTCCTTTACAACAGGAATGACTTTGTTAGTAGGTGCAAGATAAAAAAGAATCTTAAAAGGCAGATTCTATACATTAAAAAGTATGGAAAATGTTACCAATGTCATCTAAGCAGATGTCCCCTGGGAGATTTGGCATTCCTACAACTGTAGGCTCCTTCAAGACAAGTTTTTTTCCCATCCCATGGAGGCCACCGGTCTTTTGAAGGATTTCTATTTTGTGTTTATAGTCCTGTTAACTTCAGTGATACTCTCCAAGGAATTAAGGTAAGTTCAGACTTATTTTGCAGGACTGGAGAGTCAAACTAGGTGTTTTACATGAGGTAGAGACCTCCAAACATCCACCTTTTCAAACACTGTAAGGTCTGTCGACTTGAAAAGTGGTGGAGAAGACTTGTGGGCAGATCCTTTCCTTTATGTGAGTTGTGTTTGTGGAGTTCTGTAGAGGGATGCCAGTGTTACAGGGCTGTGTCCCATCTTCAGTTCTGCAGCTT